TTTTTCTTTCTTCTCTTTGACTCATCAAGTTGCCATGGAATTTGACCCCGTCATGGTGACACAACTATGTTTTGCTAGTTTCCCACGGTGGAGAATGAATTGGTGATGCCGAACAATTATGAGTAGTTAAATCCTCACACTGAAATATTATGAAATAATTTCATGAATGATTATGCATAATTAACAAAATGAGCAAATTCCGGGCAACATCGATTATTTTGTTTGAATATCACTTGAGTTGTTACACATTGATGCGAATGTAGTATTCATGATAGCTAGCTAGGTGAGCCGGCTTGAGTGGTTAGCTCAGGTATAACCGGTTTAAGGGAGCTTTAGTTCGACCTTGTCAGAAAGCTCAGTGGATTAGCTCAGGATACGAGTCGACCTGAATGGAGGATCAGGGAGTCGAGTTCCTCGTGAAACTCTAACGGATGAGGGGTCGCACTTGAGGTCGTATAGGTGAAGATCGTGGTTTCGACCTGGTAAGCGCCTGCAACGGATGGGTCACGAGGTCACAGTAACGACCTAAGGACCTACGAGTCATGTCGTGAGAGGGAACAAAATTCTGCTAAGGATGACAAGTGTATTTCACTAAGGAGTCTAAGATCTTAGAGACGCGTTATACTATGAAATGAGATACATTATGATCGTTTTTTCTGGTAATGAGACTACGTGGGCAGGAAGAATAACCTCAATGTAAAAGGAGATTACCATGTTATATTTTACATAACATATATTTACGTCTTTTAATACAATTTTATCGTATTCACGAGAGAGATTTGATTTGAATGTCTGAGATTTTCTATTGGGAGCCCTCGACGCGTTTTGCACATTACTAGAGCTCAAGAAGAGAGACGGTTCGTGGTTGTGTCGGTTGAAACCTAGTTACGAGGCTATTTGCGTATCAAATTAGAGTCGCTTGTGGAAAAAAAACTTGTCTTTATTGGTTGGCAAGGACTTGATTTTTCTCGTTTTTTGTTAAGAAAAAAAATCTCGAGGTCATAGCTTAAGAGAACTCAAGAAAAAATTTGGAAAAGGATATGGATGAAGCATGGGAATTACAAATCCCCATGGGGAGAGGATAATCACTCGGTTGGTCGAATGATACATCAGCCCAGGTCGCGCCAAGAGCGAGCCTACCTAGACCATGCACATGCTTTACCCCAATAACAAATCTCCTGCCTCGACCTAGTTTAGTACAAGAGTCAACAGCTCCACCTAAAGGTTGCAGTGGTGTAGAACCAGGATCATATCATAGTGGCTCTGGACACTGGACCCCATGAGGGGGTCAAGCATCAATAGTTTGAGGTCCTTGGGGATACCTAGACCCGGGACAAGGAGGACAACAAGAGAACCTTGATGGACATATGTTGGAATCTGTAGGGATCTCATTATGTACAAGTCACGCATTCAATAGCTAAGATAAACCTATGCGCAGTGGATCAAATGTTTGACGTAGAAAACTTACGGCTTAAATTTTTTTGAATCTGACGGGATGGATCAGATGGGATCACCGGGAGCAACACGTCGGAGTTGTGGGGATCGCGCGGGGTTGGGATCGTCGGCGTGGGGCTCGTGGGACTACTGCGGAGATCGCCGGAGGCTGTAGCGTCGTCGACTGGGCTTGGCGTGCCTGCGCGGCATTCGTGCAAGCTGGGCTCAACGATGTCACGTGCGGCGTCGGCTGGTCGTGGCTCGCGGTGGCGGTCGGCTGGGCTCAGGGTGGTATGATGGTGGATCTCCGCGGTTGTGTATATTTGATCATGGGGTCTCGAATACCACGGGAACTTCTACTGTATTACTCAAACACCTCTTCAACCCGTACCGGTGGAGCAACAGAAAGAAGATAAAACTCGAACAGAAATCTAGACAGAGAGAGAGAGAGAGGGGCGTTTGTGTGTTTACACGTTAGGTCTCTTCTTTTTCTTTTCCATGAGCTTAATGATGTATATATAGAGCTACAATAAAGATCTTTAGAAGAACATGATTAGAGCTCCTTAAGTATTGGACCTAACTGTGAACCTAGCCAATTCTGCCAATATTTAAATAATATTAAGATCCACTAACGTAATATTAGTACACTCCCTTTTTCCTATCCTAAATTACATTTGAGACTTCGATTATAATTACCATAATATTAATTCACTCCCTTTTTGTTATCCCAAATTAGTGTATTAATTAAATATTAATACACTCCCTGGTTACGGTTTCAGCACATTTTCAGTTACACTAATTGTTGGACCTTACATAGCGCCCATAATAGCTTGATGGACCAGCTAGAGTGGTTATCTAGGTCAACCGATTTGGGATAACTTCTAGCTCCACAGTATTGTTTGACGCTGTTAAAAAAATTAATATGATAACTCGAGGTACGTCGGATCAATTACGAGCTAGAAAGCTTGGCTCATCCAAGAATTCGGTCAAAGGAAGGGTTATCACGATATGGAGGTCGTTAACCAAAGGTCGTATAAGCACCTGGTAAGAAGTATGGTGGCCGAGTCATGAGGTAAGGACCTGCTGATTCCTGGTAATGAAGAAAATAGAATCCTACTAGGATATTCAGTATATCTACCTAAGTAGTCTAAAAATCTAGAGACATGTTATATGTGGAAACGAGATACGGGAAGATCTCTTTTCTAGTAAAGAGGTTAAGTGGGTAATAAGACAACTTTCTTATAAAAAGAGGTTCACAAGTGAGATCTAACTTGAGCAATGAAGGTTTTTTCCCTCATGATCCCTCTCGGTGTTTTTCACGTCACCGGAGCCCAGCGTGAAGGACGGTTCGTGAGGTTGCTAATCTGAAATCCGGTGTGAGGGCAATTTGTGAATCAGGACCCTAGACTATTGCCCCAATATTTTTTAGTTAATCATGATTTTAGCACATTTTTATCAGATAATAATATTCATTTCAAATCTCTGGTCTCCTTTTCGTTTGCTCTAGAGCATTTGTCGGGTTATAATAATAATAATAATAATAATAATAATAATAATAATAATAATAATTTTCAGTCAATATATTTAGATTATTCATTTTTACTAATTTTTAAAAAGTGTGATAAACTCATTCTATAACTTTAAATATATATATATATATATATATTATATATACATGTAATGCATAATTTTATCTGTACCTATGCACATCTATACTTATATAAGGAGTCATCCTATTTACTAAATTAGTAGGAAAAAAATAGGTCAATATTAAAATATTAAAATATTCACTTTTTATTTTTATATTTTGTGATATTCTAATGTGCATTTCAAAACTATTGTGCATTTGATCTGACAATATTGTGCAGTATGACTTTCACTATTATGCATCTTGTTTGGTAATATTATGAATTATGCCGGGATTTTTTTTTATTTGTGGATTAATGGAATCATATTAAATAATAAAAATAGATTATTATTTATATAAAAAAGTGAATATTTTTATATTTTTATGTTCTATTTTTATATTATTGTTTGGGATTATAATAATAGTATATATATGCATTATAATTGTAGATACATGTTCTTTTCAACTGACATTTTAATGTGCTACATTGTGCTTTTAACATACATTAATGTGCATTTATTAACCTTGTAATAAATTGCAATTTTGACCCATTAATTAAATTGTAGATATATTAAAGTATTTAAAATTGCACCAAGGTCCTCAGAGATTATCCAATATTCAGATGTAAGTCCACCCATATCTGGATCCTATCAATCGTACACAATTTGGTCACCCCCGTCTCGTGCATCAATCTGGAATCGCCGTCGCAGTGTTCTCGGCTACTACAGGTCGCCGGAGCACTTGTGAAATCATGCTTGGTTGATGAGATAATTGAATCGTCGGACCTAGGGTTCTGTCAGCGGGCGTGGACGGTGCAACTAGGCGTAAGGACGGAGGGCTGAACATATATAGCATGTCGTGGCCGGGTACGGGAAGACACGACGGTGGTTTTGTTATGTTTGGTGTGCGACAACGGCGGAGGAGAGGGTGAGGCTGGCGATGGAGATGGCGGACGATCGGGGGAAGACATAGAGGTTGGAGACGAATTGGCCGTTGAGGAAGTTGTCGTCGGCTGGAGAAAGACCCACGATAGCGGCGTGCGACGGCGTACAACCATGGACGAATCTTCATATGGCCTGGGCTGGGCTTCAGCCCAAGCCTATATTTTTTTTTAATAACTATTAATTTGGAAAAAAAATATATTGTATTTTTAGCCCAACTCAATAAATCAATTTATTAACCCACCAGAATTATTCATTTATCTATTAAGTTAAAAAACTACTAAAATCACTTTAATAAAATATTATATATTGTTGATCCACTCTTTCTACTATGCACTTACCCAAAAGATACAACTATATACCAAACTCCAATTAAATAAATTAGCCACGAACATGTTCCTCCTTTGAACACCATAACAATGAGTTTAGAAGAAAAAAACAAAACTATTCAAGAGGAAGAGCCACTTTC